CCTCCCGGTCACGCACCTGCGGCAGCAGGAGGCGCCGCCCCCATGCCCATGTCCGGTTGTTCCTGGTGGTCCTTCTTCAACTTGGCTATGATCTCTGCGCACTTGTTTGGCGGTGGTGTGTCGTTCATCTTCTTGCGCAGGTTTAGGTCGGAGGGCTGGTGGTCCTTCTTGGGCGGGGTGGGGATCTTGGAGGGGCTGAGCCCGCGGCGGGAAGACTCGTAGTTCTCACGCATGCGCTCGACGTGGCCGGGGGTGATGCACCCGTCAGCTCGCAGACGGGCACCTGTCAGATAGATGCGTGGCATGGATGGATGGAAAGAGCTCATATACGACCATTCGTGAGTCGTGTTGTCTGCGTGGCTGTGTGTGTCTGTGTTGGTCGCGCGAGCGTACCGTCTTGGTACTTGGAGGGCGTTCTGTTGCGTGAGGGCGGGGTGGCGGGCAGCCGGGACGGGGGCACGACCTCAGCCGCTGCAGCAGCAGCAGCTGCCGCCACAGCAACCTCGCCTGAAGAGCAAAGAAGGCAACAAGGGCCGATTGTGAATCGTGAACAGCCTCCCTCCCTCCCTCCCTCCCGTGCATTGGTGGCTTCTTATGTGCCCACCCGACGGCTGCTGGCTTTTGGCGACTCCTTCCTCCTCTAGGGGTTTGTCGGCCGCCACAGCCTCCTCTGGCTTGGTCGCCTGCGCCGCAGCAGCGGCACTCTCCCCCTTGTCCTCGCCCTCGCCGCCATCCCGCGCCACGTCAGGCCTCTCAACATCCATCCCAACCTCTGACAGACACACACATAGAGAGAGAATGCCCAGCCCACACAGTGGCAGTGACTATCCTTCTTGCTCACCTACTGCTACGTCCCCCTTTCCCTTGTCCTCCCCCTCGCCGCCAGCCCCCCTTTTGGTCCGCTTGATGGAGCGGCTCCCCTCCTTCTCACCGGCCAACACACTCCGGGGCGACAATCCACGCTTGTCACCCACGTCAACACCCACGCCCACACCCACTCCTGCAGCTGCTGCAGCCGATAATTCCACAGCCCCAGCCCCACTCGCATCCGCCCCGGCAGCGCCCTCCATGTCAGCGGCAGCCGCAGCAGCGGCCGCATCCGGCATTGGCATGTCTTGCTCTCGCTGCTGCTGCTGTTGTTGCTGCTGCTGGTCTTCTGTCGGAGGCTCCTCCTGCTGCTTCTGCTGGGGTGCCGCTGCTGGTGCTGGTGCTGGTGCGGGGTGTGGGGGGTGCAGGGGTGAGTAGGGCCCGACGTGGCGGCCATCCAGATCCGCGCGGGAGACCTCGCGATGGGCACTCTGCAGCAAATGCAGCCGCTGACAACACACGGACACACGGATTGCACGACGAAACACGCCATCTGGTCCGTATCGGAGCCAGCTTTCCCTCCCTGACCGCTTACCCTTCGCGGATCCGGCTGCTCGGCGTTGAAGGTCCTCTGGTAGTCATCTACGATCTGCTGCATCTTCTCGGGATCATTCCCAGCCGCCAGAAGCCGCTGCCAGTGGCGGCGCAGCTCCTTCCGCGACGATGCCGCCTTCTGCTGGATGCACTGGACGGCCTCGCTGCCCACGCACTGCGCCAGAGAGGCCACCTGGCCCACCAGGGCCAACACGCGGTGGCTCTCGGCATTGTCCGCCATCGCACCTCACACAGACAGCGACGCTACGCACCAACGACTAGAAACACACTCATGGGATCCACCGCATCAGTCGTGGGCGCCGTGGTCCTGCGCCGTCCTTCTATCGGCTCGCGACTCCGCGGCCAGCTTATCCTGGCTGGCTGCGAAGAGATGGTAGATCTGTGTTTGGGAGATCTGCAGAACTATGCGGAGGAGGTCAAGGTGACGGTGCTGCCCAACTTCAGAGCGTCCACCGTCAACCTCAGCAGTGTGAGATCCGACGCATCAAACGGACGGATGGATGGATGGCAGGGCATGTCTGTGTGTGTGGATATCGATGTGTGTGCCACACACAACCAGGGTCATGTGGGTCCGTTCCGCGAGAATACCGAGATGGAGGTGCCGCTGTGGCTGGCCCGTGAGATGCACAAGGCCCGGAAGGTGGTGCACATCAACCCGCCGGCATGGCTCAACAAAGGTAGGCAGACATCGCTGGCTGTGGCCTGCAGCAAGGGAGGCCGTCCATCCACTGCGACAGACAGAGAATCCGTGTGTCTGCCTGTGTTGCTGCTGTTGCTGCCGTTCTTGTCAGTGACGCTGCAGGCGATGGTAGAGTATGAGAGGACCAAGCCGGACTTCTGCCGGCTGCCCGAAGACGTATACGAAGTCGGCTTCACCTTCGTCAAAGAGTGAGGGAGGGAGGGAGAGGGGCCAGGAGGGCGCCGCAGGGGGACAGAGAGCACATTGTGGGTGTGCCTTCTTCGTCTGTCTGTTTGTCTGTTTGTTTGTCTGTTTCTTTGTCTGTTCGCAGGATGTCGAAATACCTCGAGCACCCGAAGGACATCAGGAGTGAGTGGGGGCTGACACTCATACAAATGCGGCGGAGGGGTGGATAGCCATCCTGACTGCTGTGCTGTTTCTGGTGTGTGTGTGTGTGTGTAGGGCTGATTGAGGAGTTGCTGGAGTTGCGACTCAAGAAGATGTTCGACGGTCGGTGATGTCACGACCCTCTCACGCCACGACGCAGGGAGTGCCAGAGAGCCGTGTGTCTGTGTCTGTGTGTGTGTCAGGTCTGCAGGCGATGGATCAGGAGGTCAAGTCTGTCCACGTAAGCCAGAAAGAAAAACCCGGAAGACATCCAGCCATCCGTCGGCCCACGCGTGAGGCCTCAATCAGATGAACGGCTTGACGCCCATCGAGGCCCACATGATTGGGTAGGGTGAATGAAGAAGCGGGTGGCCACACACTTTACTTTTATGTGCGATGGATGCGTGTGGTGTCTATGTCCATTCCATTCCATGTGTGTGTGGCTGGGCTGCAATGCAGTGACATAATGAGTGGCGTCATGGACATCCACGCGGCCATCGAGGCATGGTTCGCACACAGAGGTCAGTGGAGATGATGGGTAGGAGCTGGAGGGGGGGAGGGATGGCCGACGAACCTTTCTCCTTCTGTCTGTCTGTCTGGCTGGCTGGCTTTGCGGCCGGGTGCCATCAGTTCCGCCCAAAACGTCCACGCAGTCCGGCGGGCAATCGACAGCGAACCGGACATTCGGTGGACTCGGAAGTCAGCCATACACACACTCACACACACACACACATACAAACCAAACAAGAGGCTATCTGTTCTGTGGCTGGCTGTTCTTCTCTTCTCATGGGTTGAAGGCGCATCTGCAGGCGCATCTGCGAGTGGCGCGAGCGGCAGCGGCCGAAGTAGATGAGTGCAGTGCAGTGCAGTGCAGTGCGTGTGGGTGTGGGTGTGGGGGTGTCGATACGATGGTGGTGAGGACGCCTCTCGTGGCTGGCTTCTCGCGCTCAACTCGTTTTCAAAATGTCACCTCACGCACCGCACGCACACCAAAGATAAAAGTTCAAAAGGATCGTCACACCTCAGCACCCCTGGCACCCAATGCACACCACACGTGAAATCTGCCGGCCCATCTATACACACATCATCACGCCACGCCCTGCCCTCAGTCTGAGTCCGGTAGCATGGCTGCATTCTTGATCCGAGACACACGGTCGCGAACCACAGGAGCCTGACGACGACTGCACCCACACACACACACACAGAGAGAGAGAGAGAGAGAATGACTCGCAGCTCTCCACAGTGTATCCATCCTACTCTCGTGTGGCATCTCCCACGAGGCCATCCCGTATCTTGACAGGCGAGGGCGACTCATCGCTCTCCAGGCCCATCTCCTGACGCCACCCCTCCCTACCCCTGCCCCCACCCCCGCCCCCACCCCCACCCTCTGCCCTGGACCGCACAGGCGTCCTCGCCTCCTCCCTCTCATCGCTGTCCACATCTTTCTTGGGCTTGACAGTCACCCTTTCTGCCAAAGATGACGTCGTGAACAGAGGCGAGTCGTCGGGCGGCTGCTGCTGCTGCTGCTGCTCTGGTCTGGTGGGAGGGCCAGAGGAGGGGGGCGGCCTGGGCGCGGTGGTGGTCGTGACGGTTATCTTGGGAGCGGGCGGCTTCTGGGTGGTGGGGGGTGCGCGATGGGCGTTGCCGGCTGCTGCTGCTGGTGGTGGCCTGGGCTGCCCCTGGAGAAGGAAAAGGGACAGCGAATGTCTGGCGCATTTCCCTGTATGCGGTAGCTGCTGCCTGGTACCTGCTTCAGCATCGTGATTTGAGCCCTCAGGTCGCTCAGCTCCCTCTGAAGCGTCGACAGCTGCGTGAGTGAAGAGAGCCAAGGAAGCGGAGCATCCGCAATAAAATGCAGACGGGCCATCAATCTGAGTCTGTGTGTGCATCGCATCGCCCACCCCACCTGCATGGCCTCAGCAGCGCCGTCACCGGGCTGGTGCACCCCCTTGCCCCTGCGCAGCCTCTGCAGCCTGCCCCTGTTGTCGTCGATTTGTTTCCGCAGCCTGTCGGCCTCTACGGTCTGCCACTGAGGCAACAGAGCCTGACAGGACACAGTCAGTCCGCGCACAGCACAGACAAAGAAAGGCCACAAAGCCACAGATGAACATTGCATAACTGTGGAGCCAGGTCAGGTCAGCGGGGCTGGCTGGCTGACCAGGACGGCTTCCTCGTAGGTCTTCTTGGTCTGTTGCAGCCTCCTCCTGCCCCGCACCCGCCCCGCCATCATACCCCCAGCGCCACCCACCAGCGCATTGTCCAAAGCCTTGGTCAGCTCCTCGTTGCGCTGACGGGCGTCACGCTCCTCCTGACGCAACAACTCGGCACGACGGCTGAGAGAACTGAGTGAGGCAGAGAGGGCGATGAATGCGCCATACAGGGCGTTGCCACATTGCTAAGTGGGCGTTGTGTGTGAGGGCGAGAGGCTTACAGGTTGGTATAGAAGCCCTCCCTGTCTATGTGCCGGGCTCTGCGGTCAGCATGCGCCAACAGAACATGGCGCCGCTGCTCCCTGATGCCACAAACACAACACAACAACAGCCCATCCTTCAGAAGAGCACAATGACACGGATACTCATACTTACAATTCGTCATATCGTCCCCCAAGGGCCTCTATCCGGCTCTGACGTCGACAAACAGGGGCTGGCTGGAGCATTCCAACTGCCTTCCCCCTTCTGTGCGAGCTTTTGGCCCAGATGATGGCCGGGAGCTCGCTCACGTCGAGAAGAAAAAAAGTTCTGCTTTCCGCGTTTCGCATCGCTATTGACGTTTGCTGGTTGTGAGATGGCGTCCACTGAGCCTCAGGTTACCCATCCACCATCCACCGTCACCATCACCATCCACCACCTGACGTGATGCTGTTGTGGTGTCGGTGTGCAGGCCACCACTGCTGCGTCCGCTGCGGCGCCCGCGTCCGTGTACAGCTACCCGCCCGGTAAGCCGACAGGGAGGGAGGGAAGATCTCCTCCGCCAGAACAGGCAGATCAGGAGAGATCTGACGAGATCTGTGGACAGAGAGGCGGGAAGGCGTGTCGGGAAGCCAGCCAAGGCCGCCATATGTGTGTGTATGGTCTCTTTTTCTCTCCTTTGTCCTTCTTTCAGTAGATCCGTCGTCTGCAGGTTTCAGCTACGGCGTGTACCCGTCGCCTTACGGCATTCCGGCGGCTGGTCCCTACGGGTACCCGGCCTACCCCCCGGTCCCCGGCGCATACCCCGGTGCTCCTGGCGTCGCTGCTCCCACCGTGGCCACGGCTGCGGGCAGCGGGGCCGGTGCTCCCACTGCCACCACCACTGGCGAAGGCACCGGAGTCCAGAGCACTGAGGTGAGTGAGCTTTGGGGAGGGGGGAGGGAAACAGGGATAGGATGGATGGGATGCGTGGGCGGTGTGGATGGTGTGGATGGTGTGGTGTGTTGGTGCAGGCTGGTAGCATTGGTGCGGTCGGTTCGAGTGCTGCGCCGCCCGCCATGACCACCACCGCATACGCCGCCCCATCGGTACGCACACACACCCACACCCACACACACACACACACTGCACATGAGATCTGCACCACCACCACCACCACCACCACCACACAGACACATCCCCGCCTGTTGCTGTGCTGCCTGTGTGTGTGTTGGTGTCGTGCAGGCCTACTACCCGGGCTACTACCCCGGCACCGACCCCTATGGTGAGCTGAGATACACACGATGGACACACACATATGAAAGGTGCCATTGCCATTGCCGCTGGATGCATGTGTGTGTGTGTGTGTGTCAGGTGGGTTCTACTACCCCGGCCTGGCTTCCATGGCCCCGCCGCCCAAGCAGCGACAGCCCAAGAGCAAATATTGCTGCTGAACACCACACACACCCACCCACACACACACATAGCCCCAGAAGATAGCATGGACCCACCGACGATAGCAGACACCTGATAGGCACCACTCGGTAGAATGCACGTGTGACTGACTGGATGGATGGATGGATGGCTGTCTTTTTGTTTGTCTGGAGCTCTCGTCTCTTTCTTTCCCCACACAAGTGTGCTGTGCGTGGGGTTGGGTGTATCCATGGGTTTTGGACACACCTTGAGCAGCAGCGGTTTTGACACGCATCATGATGTGTGTGCCGTTGTGGATGGTTTGGTTTCCGAGCTCAGCGCAGCTGGCTGATACACACCCATACGTAGGCGAACACTTTCTCTCTCTCTGCCTGCGTGCCTGCCATCGATACGGGTGGTGTGCGGTGTGTATGACGTAGCCCCGTAGCTCTCCTGCATTGCATGCTTGACACACACACATGGATGGATGGATGGATGGATGGATGGAATGACACACAACAGACACATCGGCCGGCTGTCCCTCCTCTTCCTCCCCCCCTCCTCTCTGTGTCGTGCTGCCTCTTGAACTCGCCATGTGGGTGGACACTCCACGGCGACGGGGGACGCATACACAGAGAGAGAGAGAAGGGCAGCGAGGTGGGCAGACCGACCGACCGGTCGGTTGTCTTGTCTTGTTGTTTTTCTCAATGAGATATCGGTAGCCAGCTCTACGGGAGCGAGGGAAGTGCAGTTAAAGACAGACAGACAGATACAGCCCACGGCAATCATGAGGACGCACACACACATAATATGCGGTATGGATGATATCCCCTTCGTACGCTGCCTGCCTGTCTGTCTGTCTGTCTGTGTGTCGGTCGCTTGCAAGGCATGTCCTGCTGGCAGTTTGGCTGATTCGCGTGTGTGCATGTGTGTGTGTGTGTGTGTGTTGAGAGGTAGGTTGAATGGGGTGAGGGTGAGGGTGAGGGAGGGGAGGGGATCTTCTAGGGACCTGGAGCGGACAAAGAGACAGAGAGAGACCCTGATCGACCGAAGCAGCACTGAATGCATTGCAATGCACACACACGTCTATATGACAGATAGAGAATGGTCTTCATCTCTCTCTTCTGCCAGGCCAGTTTTCTCAGTTAACTGACTGGTCAATCGATCGAGCCATCGCCCGATGGCATCAAAGCACACCACCACACACAGATAAAGCCAAAGCACACAGCACAACACACCCACTACACCCACACACACACACACTGCACATGAGATCTGCACCACCACCACCACCACACAGACACATCCCCGCCTGTTGCTGTGCTGCCTGTGTGTGTGTTGGTGTCGTGCAGGCCTACTACCCGGGCTACTACCCCGGCACCGACCCCTATGGTGAGCTGAGATACACACGATGGACACACACATATGAAAGGTGCCATTGCCATTGCCGCTGGATGCATGTGTGTGTGTGTGTGTGTCAGGTGGGTTCTACTACCCCGGCCTGGCTTCCATGGCCCCGCCGCCCAAGCAGCGACAGCCCAAGAGCAAATATTGCTGCTGAACACCACACACACCCACCCACACACACACATAGCCCCAGAAGATAGCATGGACCCACCGACGATAGCAGACACCTGATAGGCACCACTCGGTAGAATGCACGTGTGACTGACTGGATGGATGGATGGATGGCTGTCTTTTTGTTTGTCTGGAGCTCTCGTCTCTTTCTTTCCCCACACAAGTGTGCTGTGCGTGGGGTTGGGTGTATCCATGGGTTTTGGACACACCTTGAGCAGCAGCGGTTTTGACACGCATCATGATGTGTGTGCCGTTGTGGATGGTTTGGTTTCCGAGCTCAGCGCAGCTGGCTGATACACACCCATACGTAGGCGAACACTTTCTCTCTCTCTGCCTGCGTGCCTGCCATCGATACGGGTGGTGTGCGGTGTGTATGACGTAGCCCCGTAGCTCTCCTGCATTGCATGCTTGACACACACACATGGATGGATGGATGGATGGATGGATGGAATGACACACAACAGACACATCGGCCGGCTGTCCCTCCTCTTCCTCCCCCCCTCCTTTCTGTGTCGTGCTGCCTCTTGAACTCGCCATGTGGGTGGACACTCCACGGCGACGGGGGACGCATACACA